TCCACTCATCTGTAATAGGGTCATATCTTTCAATACTTTTTTCGACGACCGATCCCGTCCAACCACCGAAGGCATAGAGGTAACCTCCATGAGCGCATAATCCAAAATCACATCGTGGGGTAACCATTAGGGTGTGTCAATTTTGTCAACATGTTAAAAATCAAATTTGGTAGTCAAAATATTGTGCCTCTTTATGTCTAAACTTGAGATTAGCAAACAAAAATGAATTGAAATAACCCTCACCTACATCAATTATACTTTAAAGTTTCAAATATCAGTATTTCAACAAATTAATGAGACTTGATTAGAATTATTCACTTGATATTAACTAATCTCATGTAAGCATATGGATTATGGAGTATTTTATGGTTCTATAGCTTGTGTACAATATGCATGTCAGAACATGAACATGAACAGGCTCTCCGTGTGGGACAGTTTAATTATTGTTTTGACTTGTACCAAGCGTGAGGATAAGGCGCCCGGCTCACTCTCCTTCTAGATATCATAGGCGGTGGTTTGCTCTCATTGCACTTGCACCCACTCTACCAGACGAATTCTACATTTTAATTATTGTAAGTAGGGCATATTGATTGTCGCAGTTACTTATATCATTGTATAAAACATTATGTTCTAAGAAATTATTATGTTATTTCTGTTACAGCATTTTTGATAAACAAATTGATATTTTTTGAAACAACAATTGAATTATGAAATATTGAAATATTTTTCTATTTGTCAGATAGTGTGAAGATGTCAAAATTGAAGACAAGAAGTCAGTTGTCAACCCACTTGAGCCTGCTAGTTGGTAAAGGGAAGGAGCTTCCTGTATCAGAACTTCCAACAGTGAGAGACATGCTAAGATTAGGGTTACTCCTTCGAGAAAAAAATGCAAAGGACAGAAGGAACTATACAGATAAGAACTCATAAATGACATGATAGTCCCTCTTCTGCATCAATGGACAAAAGCTAATGCACTATTCAAACCACCTGTGATTAATCAGTGTCGAACTATTGAGCTAAAACTAACGAAATTATGGCACAAAGCAGTTGAAACATCACTTGGTAAAGGAAACTTGGCTAGGAAAAATGAATTTCTGCACACACTTGATACTCTGTTTGACATTTTGACCTGCAAGTGCTCCATACAATTATGTTCTGAATCCAACTGTTCTCACTCAGGTAAGAGAGAAAATAATTCCCACATTGATTGTGGTTGTCCTCGTGAAAAGAAGATCCCTGTTTTAGAGCTTGAATTGATAAAGGCACAGAGGACAAAGGCAGAAGGCCAAGGAAGTATGCAAATGGGTTCAATAGATTATTCAGAAACAAAGAAGCAGATTGCTAATGCCAAGAAGAGAGAACAAATCCGAGAGAGGGAAGAAAAGAAGAAAATGAAGAGTGAAGAAGCCATCCAAAGAGAGGAAGAGCTGTGTCAAGATGTTTATCACTTCTTTGATAGTTCTTCTGATGAACAGGAAGCAACATCAGATGATAGTTCCAAAGAGCCATCTGAACCTTTACCAAAGAAAATGAAATACAACACAAGAAATATTTCAAACATTGCTTTAGCTAGTATTCGCCACCATGTTGGACTTCGTGAGGCTGCAGAAATTGCAACTGCCGCTTGGATAGATGCAGGCCTCATCAGCCGAGAGGATGTATCTTTGGTGATAGATCATAATAAAATTAGAAGAGCACAAGAAAAAATAATGAAGGAAATATCTGATCAGCATGAAAAAGATTTAAGCGAGGGAGGGCTCTCCTGTCTTTTGTTTGATGGAAGAATAGATGACAAAAGTTTTGCTAGAAGTAGAGGGAGTGAACAGAAAGTTTCCAGGTCTCATCAAAGAAGAACACTACTCTGTCTGGTCTGAGCCTGGTGGTCGGTTTTTGTTTCACTTTGCTCCCGAAACTGAAGTAGAAGGGAAGAAACATGCAGAGGTCATTGCTGATCATATTTTATGTTGGGTTCAGGAGAGAGGACTTGGCAGTTCACTGCAGGCTGTTGGTGGAGATTCAACTGCAGTGAACACCGGATGGCAGGGGGGTGTAATGACGCATTTAGAGAAAAAACTAGGAAGAAGACTTGTTTGGATTGTATGTGATTTACATACAGGCGAGCTATCTCTTCGTCATCTCATCCAGGAACTTGATGGTCCTACAAAGAGCAACAACAAGTGGTCAGGTCCCCTTGGCATCATGCTGGATGAAGCAACACAACTAGAAATAAATACAACCTTTCCAAAGGTCGAAGTTGACCCTCCCCTTCCGGCGTTGTCTGAAGGAGTCATCAAAGATCTCAGCACAGATCAATCCTATGCTTATCGTATTGCCCAAGCAATAAGATCAGGAGAAGTGCCTCAATCATTGGCTCTCTTGGAGATTGGACCTGTCAGTCACAGCCGTTGGTTAACTACAGCTCTTCGTTTCTGCAGGATTTGGATTTCCAAACACGAATTGAAGGGCAAAGTGCTGAAGAATTTGAGGTTAATTGTTGAATTTATTATTGGAGTTTATCTTCCCCAGTGGTTTAGTGTGAAACTTAATCCTATGTGGGTGGATGGGCCCAATCACCTTTTGTTTCAATTGCAGCTAGTAAGAACACAGAGGAAGTTAGTGAGGGACATCGTGCTACCTGTGGCAAGAAGGTCCGCTTGGTATGCTCGATCAGAAGCAGTTTTGCAAGCAATGCTTTGCAGTCAATGTACCAATCTCCGAACCGAGGCTGTAGAAGTCATTCTAAAGATTAGAGGAACGCTAATAGATGACGACCAGTTGGGAGACTGTTCGTTTCATTCAAGAAAAGTTCCCCCAATAAACGTCAATGCCACCAAATTGTCAGAATTAGTTGACTTGAGTTTGGAAGTCTTAGAGCCACCATTGACAACAAGTCTAACTAGCCAAGAATTGAGAAACCTTAAAGAGACTTCAATGCAGGTGCCGAAGTGGCCTTCCCACACTCAAAGTGTGGAGAGATGTGTGAAAATGGTCACAGAAGCAGCGGGCCATGTTTACAGCCACGAGAGGCGAGAAGGTTACATCAAAGCACAAATAGTAAGCAGACTACTGATGACAAGAAACCAAAGCAAAGAGAGTATGAAGGCATTGGTTACTTTCAAATAGACTACGGATAATAAAATATAATAATTTGAAACTTGAAACAGTAACATGTGTGCAAACGCTGGTTATGTTATAAATTCACATATATGTACATTTAAAAATCCATTTGATGTAGGTAGGACTTATTATAAAAAAAAATTTATGCCAGAATATTGTTTTGCATGCTTAAAGACTACAATAAATTGCTACCAAATTACTCGATTTTCAATTTAGCCAGTTCACCTCCTAAATTGACAAAATCTAGAAGATATCCCAGTCCAATCTTCTTCCTGTGGATCATAAACTTCGCCATCTGCCCAAATCTGACTATCCCCTCCAATCCCTCCAACAACGAATATTTTCCCATGTAAGACTGCTACTCCTGGCCCACATCTCTCAATTTTCATAGGGCCAACTTTCTGCCATTTCTGCCTAAAGGTATCAAAACATTCGACACTTTTTAAACTATACTCCTCTGATAGTTTCCATCCACCTATAACATAAATTTTCTTTCGAAGACAAATTCTTGGCTGGATATACGAGGCTTCCCTTTCGTCCCTTAAAAATGTCGTCCTCTGCTGTTTAAGAATAACCTTCAGATTGATATTAGAGCACTCATTAATTGATTTTTTTATTAGTTTACTTGGAATTAAAGCCAATTTCACTGGTTTCAAAATGTCATAAATCCAACAATGTCTATTAGTTATATCTTGTGTAATCCATCTGATGGCAGCAGAGAATACCTGTAATACAATAAAGAAAGAAAAGGTAGATAAATTTGATTGTTTGGGGGTCTACTATTAAATAAAAAAATAGCGTATATAAATATTTACCTGCACCTCAGAGTCAATATGAAGATACTCTGACTCCAAAAAATACAGTAGAATTTCTTTAGGAATTTCAAGAAACTCTTGTTCCATTGTAATTTCTACGAAATTAGAAAAGATGAAGTCCTGCGAAGCAGACAGCAGGTTTACTAAATAATGGACCTCAGCAAACCTGTTTAAAAAACAAAAACAATGGATTTATTCCTAATAGATTTATTTATTGTACGTACATATAGGTAACATAATCAACTGAACTGAATCATAAAACCGTACCTGTAAATTCCTAAAGCATTGGATGGATGAAGTTCACTCTTAAGAAAGTCTGTACAAACACGTACAGCATGGTGAATTTCAAGTATGTTTGCAGCTACAATTAACTCTTGAACATTTTCCACTGTTACCTCGATGTTTTCTAAAGATTTAAAAAAAACAATCTATCAACAAAATAAAAAATATCGTTTTTAGTTTTACATTAGTACTCACTTTCTATTAACTTTTAAAAAGTTTTTCTTTATCCTTACCAGTATATATAAATCCGATGAGCTGTTTTAATATATTAAATTTCATAGACTTCATTTCTATTGAAGAAGACTGTGTTGTTTCCTCACTTAATCCACAGGTAAACATTGTCTTAAAATAATTACTTCCCGCCGAAAGTATTACACGGTGAGCCTGAAATAATAAAAATAGTTGTGTTAAGTACAAACAGGAAAGACGACGACAGTTTTTACAGTTATTTCAGTTAAAAAATAATGTTTTCTCACCTTCACAATTGATCCATCAGCTGATGATATTTCTACATCACAAAACTTTTGTAACTGCCAGAGTGAATGTAAGTTTTCTAGCAGGTTAGATTTACATTCCCCCTCCCCATTATCAGAGAATTCCACACGTGCTGCCGCCATCCTCATATATTACTAATAAACAAATGTAATACTATTCATCCAGAGTTGAGTTGTCTGGTGGTGGGTAGTGATATCTGGTAATTTTTAACTGAGATGTAGTATATATATTGAGAAAACGTTATAATTGGGGTACCGAGTAATCACAGGTATATTAGGTCTTTTATATGAAATGGCGGCACGTGTGGAGCTCTCTTATCCGAACGACTTCCTAGAGGTGGAGCTCTCTTATCCGAATGACTTGCTAGAGAACTTACATTCACTCTGGCAGAAACAACAGTTCTGTGATGTAGAAATATCATCAGCTGATGGATCAATTGTGAAGGTAAGAAAATTTGCTAGTATATTAAGTTGTTTTAACTAGCTTTGTCTGAAATGAATAAAAAAGTGAAGAAGATTTTTATATACTGTATACAACAAACATTTTATTCCAGGCTCATCGTGTAATACTCTCGGCGGGAAGTGAATATTTTAAGGATATGTTTACTGGTGGATTAGCTGAGGAAACAACACAGTCTTTTTCAATAGAAATGAAGTTTATGAAATCCAATATATTAATTCGGATCATTCGATTCATGTATACTGGTAAGATAAAAGGAAAAACACATGTTTGTCATATATGTAAAAAACACATGTTTTTCATATTGCTATATGTAAAACGGTATTTTTATTTTATTAATTATTATGAAAAATTTATTTTAATATTTTAAATCTTTAGGAAACATTGAGATAACAACGGAAAATGCTCAAGAGTTAATAGTTGCTGCAAACATTCTGAAAGTTCACCATGCTGTATGTGTTTGCGCGGCCTTTCTCACAAGTGAACTTCAGTCATCCAATGTTTTAAGATTATACAGGTATGTAAGTAAATTATTAAGTAAATTATTAAAAAATATTCTAATTTTGTAAACTTTACCATTTTTGACGTACAGTATTCAATATAAATTCCATATTTTTCTAAACACAGGTTAGCTGTAGCTCATAATTTAGTACCACTGCTGGATTCTTCACGGGACTTCATAATCACAAATTTCTCAAATGTAATATTGGAGAAAGAGTTTCTTGATACTCCTAGAAACATTATACAAGAGCTTCTTCTAGAGAAAAAACGTCAAAGTCTTGAAGAAAACTACAAGAAAGAACAGTTCCACCATTGTCCTACCTGTAAATTACAAGTGTAGACAGGATTAGAGAGGAGTGAAAAGAGTGCGATCTGTTATTGTTGTATACCCCAACCTGTTATTATTCTCTACCAACCTGTTATTGTTCTACTAAGATAAGTTTTGTTTTTACTACCTAAGGCTTGTTTTTTACCCCCTTTCCTCTGAGTTTTAAGGCTCAAGGAAAATAACTATCATCAAAATTCTTAAACATAGAAGAAAAAGTTTTAATAAAATGTGGATGAATGGATGCAATGTTCCCGCAGAAATATTTCTCTTATCTCCTTACCATAATTCCACAAAAGTTTTGTGTAGGTCAGTGGAAAATGAGATCTTTTGAAGAATTTAGATTTCAATATGTTTTAATAATATAACAAAACATTAAGATTAATCATTTAATTATTTTTACATTCATTTGTACCGTGAACACACATATTATTACATTTTTTACTTCTTTTAAAACATGCACATCGTTTATCTCTACATGGAATAGATTTACATTTACAAGCTACACTATTTCTAGTACTTTCTCTACGAATCCCTAAACTCTTAGTTTGAAGTCTTGCAGCCTTACGTATAGATAATTTGACATGTGGTAATTGTGATAATTGTCTTGGTGGTGTTGGTACTGATGATGATGATGATGGTGATGATGATGGTGAATATTGTGGTTGTGGTGATGATGATAGTGAATGTTGTGGTTGTGGTAATGATGGTGGTGGTGGTATTGGTGTATTAACATTACCATACAGTTCTAGTTGATTTTTCATTAATCTTGGTTTAAGTTCACCATGGGGTGTTATTACTTTATATAAACCCTTTTGTTTATTAATTTCAGATACAATTCCTATTAAATTAATTGGTCCAATTTTATGTCTGTCAACTGAGGGAATAGGTACGAGAACTTTATCATTAACATTAACTGTGAAAGATGATTTGTTTTTTTGTGACAACATTTTTTTAGCATTCATTTTCTGAGTTTGTTGGGCTAAATGCCTATTATTATGTATTGATTGTATATTTATGTTTACACTACTACTGGCATCCTCTTCATGCAATGATAATTCATCATCTACTTGTTGTATACGATTCTTCTTTTTCTTTTTATTTCTTGATAGGTCGTCTCTCATCTATAATAAAAAAAAATATTAAAATTTAATTAATATATATTGTTTTACTTATTAATTTCAAATAAAATAACACTGACTTAAAAAAAACTATAATAATACTTTCTTCTTTTCTTTTTGTCTGTGTACTTCCTGATAGGTAGTCTCTCATCTATAATAAAAATAAAAAACATTAAAATTTGATTAATACATTGTTTTACTTATTAATTTCAAATGAAATAACACTGGAAGGAACTTAAAAAACTATAATAATACTTCCTGTAATTTCTTCTTCTTTTTCTTCTTGTTGTTGTTCTTTTCCTTCTTCTCCTTCTTGTTCTTCTCCTTGTTGTTGTTGTTCTTCTTCTTCTTGTTGTTGTTGTTGTTCTTCTCCTTGTTGTTGTTGTTCTTCTTCTCCTTGTTGTTGTTGTTCTTCTTCTCCTTGTTGTTGTTGTTCTTCTTCTTCTTGTTGTTGTTGTTGTTCTTCTCCTTGTTGTTGTTGTTGTTCTTCTCCTTGTTGTTGTTGTTGTTCTTCTCCTTGTTGTTGTTGTTGTTGTTCTTCTCCTTGTTGTTGTTCTCCTTCTTCTTCGTCTTCTCCTTGTTGTTGTTGTTCTTCTCTTTGTTGTTGTTGTTGTTCTTCTCCTTGTTGTTGTTCTCCTTCTTCTTCGTCTTCTTCTTGTTGTTGTTCTCCTTCTTCTTCTTCTTCTTGTTGTTCTTCTCCTTCTTCTTGATGTTGTTGTCGTCGTTGTAGTTGTTTACTACACATTACATTTATTAAATGTTCTTCAGTTTTAACATACATTTTAAGCTTATTGTATATATCTAATGGTAAATTTGACTTCATCCCCACTATTGGATCTTTACCAAAAACAGCTTTATATGGAGACATATTAATTCCTTCACTATGAGCAGAATTTTTGGCCATTTGAACAAAGGGGAGAGCAATAACCCAGTTCGGGGTGTTATTATCTTTTAAAAAGCTATTTAAAATTCGCATAACATCTCCATTAGCTCTCTCTACACTTCCTTGACTCTGAGGATGACGAGGTTTTCCGTTAATTATATACAGGTCTGGCCAGATGTTTTCTGTTAAATCCTTATAATCTTCAAAACGTTCTTTCTGCATATCTATCAAATCAATCTGACCTCTAGATCCATAACTGCTAGATAGTAGAGGTTTAACAACCTCTGCCTTCCTTGTACGTCGACGACGTTTTAGTTGACATGTTTCACATAATGAAATAAAGAGTTTAATTTGTTTTAAGGTTATATTGGCAATTTTTTTCTTCAATTCTACATAAGTTCTTTTCTCCCCTCCATGTCCAATAGTAAGATGTGAATCTTTAATATTATCATAAATTTCACAGACACTAACAAAAACTTTTTCTTGCCCATTTTTCAAATATTTAGTTATTAATTTCTTAACACCATATTTGTAAATTACATCGTATCGGCGAATAAGAGCATACTCTTGAGGCGTCTTTGTAGTAATTTTATTCTTGGCTGCTTCAATTATTTCTATATATTGTTTCAATTTTGTATCAGTAAAAAATAACCGTTTATTACAAAATTTTTGTGCAAATAATTTTTCTTCAAATAATTTTCTGTTGATTTCACTTGTACTTGTATTTGCTGGTGTATCAGGATCTTCATTGTCGTCGCTGTCACTATCTAACATTGTTGTCTGTCTGTCAAATACAGTTAGTTTGGTTAACACACCCCAACCCAATAATCGATCTATCCGTGGGCAGTCTAATGGGAAGTGTGGTGCTACTTCATGTTGGGGAGGGGTATATATAGTTGGTGGGTATGAATAATTGGCAACTCCTTTTTCCCATTTGAAGGAAGCAAACTACATGTTACCTAGTTTTTAAAAGGTAAAGGTTGTTAAAGACAAGGTCGTTGTTTGAGGGAAGTAGCGTAACCCTCACCACCTTCCTCCTCTCACCTGCCTCTGTATCCCCCAAGTAAAAAGAAAATATTCTAAGAGAAAATATTCTTAAGTAATATGGATGTATGTTGTGGAAAACCTAATGAGTTTATAATTGGTATTTTACATTTAGTTTGGAGTGCATAATGTTTTGTTTTGCATTTTGTTTTACACCATAGACTGGATTAGGTAAGTCAGTCTTTTGTACCACCATTCAAAATTTCCTGTTAATTTAAATACTAAATATTTTTAACATTTTAATAATAATAAAATTAATTACAATCACAATCAGTTCGTTCACATTATAAAAATCACACGAATACGAAAAAGATAAAGGTTAAATAATACGTTAAAGGTTACTTATTATAACGAAATATTTTATAATTAATTAACACACCCACACAAAAACCCAATAATATTAAACGGATGGTTCATTTTTTTAATAAAGTCTGAAAGATACCAATTTTCGTTTAAAAAAAAAGTAACTGTTTAGATAATAATAAAATTAATACACAAATACGAAAAAGATAATTAGCCCCACCACCAGTCAAAATTTCCTGTTATTTGAACTTTCTTTGTAACATGTGGGGCAGGAATTTAAGTAATGCAGTCTGGTAGAATTGCCTGAGGGTAAAATATATTCAACAAAGGACACCGATAAATTACTATCTCTTAAGAATTCGGCAGCAGTCATTATCCTGAATAAAGTAAATACTCCTCCTCCCACCCCACTGAATTTTTTTTGCCTCTCATTGTAAATTAGACAAAATAAGTATATATAAAAATTAATTTCGTTTATATTGATTTTAAATTATTACAAAAGCATTAGTTACCAGATTTTAAATGTTATTATGTGGGGATTGAAACCGAGTGTGCTGTATTCCCGTCCACCTCACTGCTGCTGTAACACCATCTTCAGTATCAGTATCATGCCTTCCACCGTCAGAAGTGTCCTACGGTTCAAGAAGCTGTCAGGGAATGCTTTAACTCCCAGTAAAGGTTCAAAACTGGCCGCCGGGTTTGACTTGAGCAGGTAGGGGTGAACCACCATTGTTGATCTTATGTCCATTTTCTTCAGTTGCTGTGATGATTATTGATGTACTGTACTTTACTGTAGGCTGTTTTTCATTTTAATTCTTGGCTTTTGGCATCATGTGTGTACCACTGTTATTTTTCAATAAGACAGTCTGCTCTGATTTGGTGGATTATTTGAATGTTAATTTAGTTATTTTAACTTTAACTACGGGAATGAATATTTAAAAAGTGGCAACTTATTTCCCTTTTTCAGTGCGTATGATATAGTAATTGCAGGCCAGGGCAAAGCTCTCATCAAGACGGACATACAGGTAGAGTTACCAGAAGATTGTTATGGCAGGGTGGCACCACGATCTGGTCTTTCCTGGAAGAATCACATTGATGTTGGAGGTTAATGTCTATTTTTGGTTTAATTCATATTAAGCTAGCTAATTTTGAAACTAAATATTACAAAATTTACCTTGTTTGTGTTTACTATAGGAAAGTCAAGTATACCTGTATGTATGTACTTTTAATTTCCATTTAGTAAATGAAGTTTGTGGAAATTATTGGCTTGATTTAACTCTGTCATGGCCAGTGCCTTACATGTCTCAAGAGGTTGGGTATGTTTCTTAATCTCACTTCTTGCGTTCTCATTATCATCATTTACGTTAAACTCTTGAGGTTAGATACACGTTTATTTGAGGCTACCCTTTCAGCCGGTGTTATTGACCGAGACTACCGGGGAAATGTTGGCGTTGTTCTCTTCAACCACGCCAAGACTGATTTTGAAGTAAAAAAGGGTGACCGAGTAGCTCAGCTCATATGTGAAAAAATCGTGTATCCAGATATAGAGGAAGTTGAGGTTTGTGTCAGTTTATCTTCTTTTTCTGTGTCTTGAGTCCAATATTTTAATAACCAGCCTTAAAGGTCTTAACAGTAACAAAGAATATACTGTACTGGTCAACATTAAATGGCCAATAAATTGATAGTGGTAGATCACCAAATACACATGCGAGTTAATGTTGTGTTAAATTCCCGTTGCTTGTTTACAAAGGCAATCAGCAGATTTACAGATTTTAAGAAGTATTATTGTATAATAGATGTTGAAACACATATACTGTACTCTAATTGCATTAATTCTTATGGGGGACAATTCCTCATTATGAAATGTTTGATAGGGACTGAGTATTTGAAAAAAAATAAGTTATAGAAATATATGTAATTAAATACAAAATAAGAGTATTAGGGACGGGAGTTGAAAAGGTTTACTTACTAAGCAACCAAGAAATATACAGTGTTCTGTAGAGCTAAGGCCTAGACTTTGGGATGGTGCAGTGGGGTTGTCAAGCATGGAGATCCAAGGTACTAATGATTATCCATTTTTCAGGAATTCGTGGACACAGAACGAGGTGCTGATGGTTTTGGATCAACTGGAATGAAGTAGAAAATCCATCCAGAAAATTTTATTAGAAAAAAAATGTTTCTGTTTATAAATGATTTTATATATATTTTGCTCACATATATTTTACAAAATGATTGGTGTCTAGATTCAATAATAGAGTTCAAAACTTTACAAAAAGACAGATTGTTATACTTTTTGAAAAGGTTTTGCAAAACGACGAAAAAATCAAAATTTCGAAAAAATTTTAATTTTAGATTTCACACAACATGGATGGAAAGAAATGATGCATTTACAGAATGTCTAATGAATATTATTTTTGATAAATTTATTCAATTAGAATTATGTGTATATACACAGTATAATAAATATGTGAATATACATATTAAAATTTTAGCAAAACACGGAAATGAAATATTTGCTCCTCTTTATAGTGAATTACTACTATGTCAAAGTAAAAAATATTCTCTTTTTTCCGGAGACATTTTTATAACATGTTATGCTAATGTATTTCTCCATATAATTGCTCGAAGTTTTTATTATACACCATTAGAAAAAAGATGTATTATAGATTATCTTATCTTATGCAATTATTTTCCTGACGAAGAGGTTAAAATAATAGATCAAAGCTATTACAATCCAATATATTTTCCATCATTTTCTGATAACGATAATAGGGTTAAAATAATAGATGAAAAATATCACAATCCAATAAATTTTTCATCTTTAAGTAAATATAAACTTAATTTAATCTAATTACAATATGATAACTGGATGTTAAAATATGATAATGGAATGGCATTGGACTGTTTTTTTTTGTTGTAAAAAAGAACATTATATAACTTTCTTGGATATTGTTTAGTAAATAAGAAACTATTATGTTTTGTTTGTAAAAAATGTTTTTTGTTAACACTAAGTCTAAATAATAAATGTTAGTCTTGAAAGGTTAGTGTTTTTCTTAACATTTATTGTCATCCATCCTTAAGAGTTTATAACCCCCCCAAAAATATGTTGTGGAAAACCTAATGGGTTTATCATTCAGTGAAATTAAGTATTTGACAAGTATTTGGCATTTAGTTTGGCAGTAATTTATATAAGAGGGAAGGAATTGTATATAAAGAACGTACATACAAGACAAGACCACAGCAATCCACAGAAAAATTTCAGAAATGTCAGAAAAAGTAGTATTGCAGGAACAAATTGATAATTATAACAATGGAGAGGATAATAATGATGAAGACGAACAAATTGAGGTTTCAACTATTAATGACGAACCTAAACTGTGTAAACCACTATGGGAGTGCATAATGTTTTGTTTTGCATTTTGTTTTACACCATAGACTGAATTAGGTAAGTTTTATCTGGTTGATTTAATAGATACCAATAATATATTTTTTCGAAGGATAATATAGAGATAAGTTTTACATTAATTACATAAGGAAGAAAAAAAAAACAATATATTATTGTTGCTGCTAGCTAGATTTATTTTTTAGTTTTAATGTTTATTATCGGAAAAGTTTAAAATATTTTATACAAATATTATCTCGTCTATAGGCCGTCGTCGTCATAAAAACATGGTCTTTTAACTCTATAGCGATCACGGCTGGGAGAGAATTAATATAGTATATAACTTTACATTGAGGGTTTTATTTGGTAACCCAGCCGCGAGACCCTTCCCTCAGCTATATACTATTCTCTTATTATAACACAACACAGACAGAGTAAGCGAGTATAAAATATTGTTACCGAATGTTGTTTTACGAATTTGGGAGTAAAAAAATTATACAACAGTCTCGATTATCACTAGAATCTGTTAAAGAACTACAGTGTCAAACCTTTATCCTAGGTAGCACTAAATGCAATAATTCTTTAACGGCGTGATAATATGACACTGAAAGGAAATCTTTTTTTCTTAATCTTAAAGATCAGTCTTTTGTTTCTAGAGAGAGTTACTAATCATGGATGAGGGATCTCCCCAATCCATCGAGAATAATAACTCTACCCCTAGATAAAGATTAACCAATAAAGATAATATCCCCTAACTAAAAAATCTAACTGTGTAAAAATTTCCATTTGGAGGTGTATATCGATAACAATACTAAAAAATATACCTAGTACTCTCTTTCTAAATTTTAATTTGTTTTCCTACTAAGTAAGGGTCCATATGTTATATTTTCAAAAATTAAAAGTATTGGTTGGGGGTATTAATCTAATTGACAAGACAAATCAAATCTTCCCCAGAGGAAGATAAGAGAGTTGCATGCAATTTTGGTTTTCTGGGGAGAATCCTTCTATAACAATCTTTAAAGATTTATTCAATCTTTAAAAATTAATTGTTATAAAAAGTTGTCCCGTATGGCACAGGATATTTACCCTATCCTTTTAAGCAGACTCCAGCGAAAACCTAAGAAAAGGTAGGACTGTGAATGAATCCACTGTAAA